GGCCAGCCCCGCTTCGGCCCCTCCCGGGAGATCCGTGCGCCCGACCAGCACCAGCATTGCGGACCGCAAAGGCCGCCCGTCCCGTCAAACAAGTTTCTTCTTAGGCTAAGAAACGCAGTATATACGAGTATCTCTATATATAGTACTAATGGATTTGGTGTGCTTCCCCTTAGCGTCCCCTGTCCCCCTCTCCTCCCCCTTCAGCCTGGTCTCCCCCTCTCTGCCCTCCACCCCCGTCTCTGCACTGAGATACATAAGAAACAAGGGTAGTTTACTGTCTGTTTTGTTTTCTGGGTTTTCAGTGTCCTAGCGGAATGCAAGTAGGCAGCCAGCCCGTCTGTCCCCTCTCCGCCCCGCCCCGCCCCGCCCCCGTCACTGCGCTTCTGTTATACCATCTTTGCCTGACTCTCTCCGGCTTCTCCATTGAATGGCTAATGTGTATGTGAAATAAAGAAATAAAGAAAAACAAAAGCAAGAGCGCCTGAGCCTTCGCTAACGCGATCGTGCGGGTCCTGGTCGGGTTTGGGGTGGGGTGGGGTGGGGCCCCGCGTGAACTCAGCGCCTGTGTCCCCGCACCGGGCGCGCCGTCGAGGCGTCAAGGCGCTTGTATCCCTGAGTTTCCAGGAGGGGGCGCCGCCGGCGAGAAGAGGAAGCCTCCCAGCCCCTCCCCACCTCTCCGTGAGCCCCAAACCCGGAAAAGAAAAGAGGCACCACTGAGGTCCGACGGCCGCTCTGCCATGTTGATGTTCCTGGACCTCGCCTACGGGAGGAGGAGGTGGGCGAGGCGGCTTCCCGCGGGCGGTGGGTGGTAAGAGGGTCTGCAGGGTTCCTTCCAGACCCTCTGGTCGCCCGCCCTTCCAGATCCCCGGCCATTTCCCCCGAAAGGGAAGTCCTCACAGGTCCCTCTCCGGGCGACTTCGCTCCAAAATAAGCGCAGTGCGCGCGGTGCGTGGTCCGCCCCTTCCTCGACGGCCCAGGGCTGAGTTCCCATGCCCGTCATGGCTGGGAGGCGATGGAGGTCACCGCACCTCTGGGCTCACAGCCAGCCAGGCGGAGCACCTCGTTCTTGCTCAGCTTCCGGTCGGGAGGGTGCGTGGGCAGCAGCTTCCTGAGCTCCATGAAGGCGCCGTTCACGTTCTGTTGCCGCCAGCGCTCGCGACTGTTGGTGAATACACGCCGGGCCACCTTCTGGGGCTGCTGCCCTGCACGCAGGAGGGGAGGGGTTGGCACCGACGTGGCGCCCCCTGCTGCCCTCACTTCAGGCACCCAGCACCCTGGTGGGGACTTCCACACAGGAGGTGAGCGGGGCTTTCTCCACGCCGGGGATGCACGTGTAGGACCCACCACGTGGCTCCCGGCTAGTTAACAACCCTGCCCGCCCCCCACCTCCACCATCTAGACAAGGAGAGACTGGGCTGCACAGAACTGTGGCCTCTGAGCCGCTGGCTGCGCCTTTATGTCCGTGGCTGAGATTGCTTAGCGGAATGTTTCCTTGCTGCTGCCAGTCTGGGGAGCTGGCCCTATAGTCTTCATTCTGAGTGTGTCCCTGTGTGTGACCCGGGTCCTCGCGGGTCTGAGAAGTACTCGTGATTGTGATTGTGGTCCTGTCTGTGTCTAAGGTCATTGTGTGACTTGTGGTCTGTCTGAATGGCTGTGGTGGTGTGTGATCGTTGCCATGTGGCTGTGTCATGCCTGGCTGTGGTTGTGTGGCTGATTCTTGTGTGGCCATGGTCCTAAGTGGCTGTGGTTGTCTGTGTCCTGTGTGGTTGTGGTCCCATGGCTGTCTCTTGCATGATGGTTGTCATGTGGCTGCTTTCTGGGTGGCTGTGCATCCAAGTGGAGCTGTCATTTTGTGGCCCCAGTGCCATGCTGTGTTTGCCAGGACCCTTTGTAGTTTGTTTGGGTGACTGGTTGTGTGGGACTGGCTATAGGACTGTGGTTTTGCACATGAGTATAACATGAGTACTGAGCCCGTGTGGGCTGTTCTGTGTGTGTCTGTGCCCTGGCAGCACCTCCCCCTGTGGAAAGGTGTGGGACAGACGTGGACCCCATGCAGACACAAACTTATACTCACCCTCAGCCAGCTCCAGCTCACAGTGGCTCGGTCTCCGCTTCAGCCGGCTGCTAGGGAAGATGCTAAAAGGTCCTGCCGGCCCAATGTAGAGGCTGTAAGGGTTCAGGGGTCACTAATGCCTTGTGGGCAAGGACCCTGGCCCTGGATTGCCCCCGGCCCAGCCCCCCACTAACCTGTTGAGGAAGGGGTGAGGATGGTAATGCAGGGCCAGAGGGGTTGGGGCACTTCCCAGGGCGGAGAATTGCAGCACTGGGGGCCGGAGGGCACTCTGCTCTGTGGCGGCCATGGCTGCCCCTGGGGGCCTCGTGTGGCCCAAGCTGATCACTGGGACACCAGGGGGCAGCCTGGGGGACGAGACACCTTGGTGGCCCACCTCCTCTGCCTTGGGGGCCCCAGGGGAGGCAGGCTTGGGGAGTGGCGCAGGCACTGGGCTGGGGGCACACACCATCTCAGCCTTCTCAGTCATGGTGGGAGCCACCTCCGCCTGGGCTTGGGGCGGGCACATGGACCCCGAGGGGGTGCTCACCTGTGGAAGGGAAGGAAGCCAATGGGAGGAGGAATCAGATGCCACACACACCCTTAGCCCAACAGAGCCCTCAAATGGAAGGGATAGTGGGGGGAGGGGGAGGCCTAGAAACTACCAGAACATGGAGGATCTGATACAAGGGCAGGAGATGCCCACTGAGATGCTGTGCAGCGATAAGCCCAGCAGTGTCGTCTCTGAGCTGTTTGTGACCCATGAGGGCATGAGCAAATTCTCTTCCTCCAGGATCCCCGCACCTGGAGTCCGGAAGGAGGGGCAAGGCAGGTAGCCATGATGGGCCCTGAGACCCTTAGACCCGACCCTAACACCCTTCATTGACACAGCGTGTCCTTGGAATTCCTACATGATTGACTCTGACCTCTCACTGACCTCCCGCCTCCTGCCTGGGCCCACCCTGTGGTCCTCATCTAGGACCCCGAGGCTCTTCCCATCGCCTCCCTGTCAGACCCTGAAAGTCTTCCATAATCTCTTGTGACCACCCCCCCCACCAGACACACACACACTGAAAATGTCCCCCTCACTAGTCCTGCAACCCCCATTGCTGACACTATGATGCCAAATGCTGGCTCTGGCCAGTACATACAGTCATGCCTCAACCTTCCTCTGGCCCTGGTGAGCCTCCACCTGCCCCACCCATCAGCATCCACCTCCTTACACCCCATTTAGATATCCCTGTCCCTCTGGGCCCACGGCCTGGAGGGCCCCAGCAACATCAGGGACACTGGGCCCTCTTCCCTGTCTTCCCCAGCTGGGTCCTGGGGAAGCTGGCCTGGCCGCTTAGTTGGTTCCTACAGATGAATGAAGGAAGGAAGGCGGGAACGAATGAATGAATGCAGGTGGGTTGGGAACCCCCCCACCTTCAGGCTGCTCGCTCTTACCCCAGCGCTGGTCCTGCTGCCTGCTGAGTCCCCTGGCTCTGTCGGTCAGGGCAGGAATATGGCTCCAGCTTCAGGCCAGGCTCCCTGGCCCTGCTTCCTCCAGCCTCTCCACTCTACCCCAGGCAGCCAGCCACTCTGGGCTTCACTTCTTTCTGGGCTCTCAAGGGCCTTGGGGCCTCGGTGGTGGCAGCAGCCTGGGTCCCTCGAGGAAAAGTAAGTGGCTCAGGGGCCGGCCGGCCCGC